GGTGTGGAGAGGAGCCTTGATTTACATGGAAGCGGCAGAGACTGGTGTGCCGATCTGATTGCCTTGGTGTTCTAGTGGGTGGCACAGGCATGGTGCTGGCCTACCTTCTTCCCCCGAATACAATGTACGGTCATTATAGGTGTATTTGGGGTATCTTTCCGTCTAAATACAGCTATAATGACGGTACGTTGTATTCGGGGGAAGATGGTAGTCCGGCAGAATTTGTCATGAAAACGTTGCGGACTTGTAGCATATGTCTTTTTAGTTTTCCCTTCTGCTTTTTTAATAGTTTGGACCATTTCTTGATTTGTGTGTGTCATCCGTGTGACATGTCTTCTATCATTCGTTGGGTACTCTTTGAATAGGGGAGGTGTGGACATAATGGGGAGGGGGTGTTGTCACGACGGTGTGTTGGAGAGACTTAGGGAGGTGGCGTTGTCGAGACGGTGTGTTGGAGAGAGGAGTGGGGAAGACGGTGAATAAGAGTTGGCTTTGGGAAAAAAAGAAACAAAGCAGGGAAGGGGGATCAGATGGAAAAAAGTAATCTGAATCGGAGCAGCAGCAAGGAAGAGTACATTATGAGTAGAACATAAGATGAACATGAGGAGTAGAACAGAAGAGGAACATTTGAGTAAAATAGAAGAACATTGACTCAGGTGCAAATCAATGAGCAGAACAGATAGAAGAATGATCACACGTGCACAGAATCTTGTAGTCCTTTGATGAAGAAACCTCGTCGACTCCACCACCAATCGAGAGCCGTAACAATAATGAAGCTCATAAACAGTGGTAGTAACTTCCTCTTATCGACTAGCTTGCTCATTCCCGCTTGTTGTCAATGCCGCTAAGTATAATGCTGCTCCCATCTATGTCAAATGAAAGAAATTCTGTAGTTGGAGCTCTTATGTAGTACCAGGTAAGTCTTGTCCCCCTTTTCCTCCCTGATGGTCAGTTTAGACTAGTCCGAAGCCTGTATTCAATTCCTTGCATGGCGATGAGAGGGCAGCCAGTCCCATTTAGTCTGGCTCGTAATCCATCGTGCAAGACTTCTGGAGTGGCGCCAAGGGAGGCAGCAGTGGAGAGCAGTGTTAGCTAGCCATAGCTGGGCACTCAGACAAACACACATCCTTTCAAAACCTCCTTTCATAATGTGCAATTGGGCCGTTATGACACACAGGGATGTGGGCAGCTCGCGCTCAACCACAGTCAGCGTGGCGAGCCTTGCACATGAGAGGCGCAGTAAAAAGGAAGCTGCAAGGGCAAATGAAATGGGTACCCAAAAAAGGCAAAGTGAACGCAGTTAAGAAAGGGATTTTCTATTTTGCTATGAAGGTAACTGTGTCATTGTTGGTTTGTCTCAGCTCGTGTTTTTGTTGTCTGCAATAGGACTAAAGCTGCGTCGATTTTGGATCTACTCATCTGGGTGGAACATGTGCATTAACTTGCTGTTTTCTGATCGCCTATAGCCTCTCTCTGTCGAGGCTGTACTATAGGTAGGACAGATTCACAATTTTGTTTGGCTGAGGGCTAACCGAGAGACCTACCTGTAAGGGAATTCGGGAAAATACAGGCCCGGTACTAACCGGATTCCCTACAGCTACCCAAACAGCGGATAGCAGGCCCGGGCTACCCCTAGGACAGACAGGCCCTATGGGCCTATTCTGATAGACGGTCCTATAGCCTATAGCCGGGTCTGGTAGAGGCCGAGAGGCCGAAACAGAAACGGTACCGGTCGGTCAGTCAGTCCGGTCTAGGTCGAGTCKAGGCTAGTTGTAGTCTATAGATAGATTGGGCACATCGGTTCAGGACTTTTTGGCAGTTGGTACCATGTACATCGCTGCTGCACAACGCATGAACCGGAAGTGGTGATGGCTCAGTGTTGAGGGAGACAGCCATAGCTGGACCTTCGGAGCATCAGCCATAGCTGCGGCTGACGCTGTCCTCTGAGAGCACGCGGGGCTGTTCAAAGGTCCGAGCCATCTGGAGTCTGCTAGGAGGCGAGAGAGTTGGTGCCCCGCTGGACCCTCCTCCGGAGTGGGGTTCCAGGGTTAGGGCACTGCAGCCATAGCTGCAGCTTCTCCTCAGAGGTCATCTTGTCAGGGTTTGGTGGCGCTGCTGCAGTCTTCCGACACTTCGTCATCATCAGATACTGTGGCGCTGGTCTTCTTCTTCATCCTCTGAGTGGCGCTTGGCCGCAGAGGCCTGTTTCAGGGTGGCGCTTCCCTCAGGAGGCTGTATTTGGGTGGCGCTTGATGTTTCGGGGTCTCAAGGGTGTTACGGGTGTTAATCAGGGTTGGGGAGTGAAGCGCTGCTCATTTCTGAGCAGCGCACTGTGGTACTGAAGTTACTCTGACAATTCGAGACTCTGAGTTTAATAAACAGTGGGATACTGTGTTTGGACTATCATCGTTTCATTGTTTTCCTGGATGTGATCTGCTCGGCTTTTCTCTATGACTGGTTGTGAGGATTGAGTGGAGTGAATTGCACTTTCAGTGTACCCTGTCATATCGCATGGTCAAGTCTTCCGCTGTGTTTATCTCTCCCTGTGCGGTGTGATACTCCTATCCTCTCCCCTTCCTTGTGTATGTATGGGCATATCCAGAAGTCTATGTGCAGGAGTGTTGGCCTTCAGGCAACGAACAACCAGAATCATAACGCAAGGGCTGTTGTGGTGAAAAACAGGGGGGGGGGAAAGGAAGATGCTGTGGTTCGGGGACATTTGTGGTGGTTGGTTGGGAGGGCTGGCAATTTTCCAGACTTAGCTTGGTCTGTCCTAGCCTTTTCTTTCCCCCCGCAGGCCTTTCCATGACCGGCCATTAGAGCGCCTACGGGTCCTCAGTCCAGGCGGAGGCCTTGTGGTCTCAAACAAGTGCTGATGAATTGTTAAAACCACCAGTATTTCTCCCCAGTATTTTGTTTCGATGGGGCCACATTAACAGCTGCGTCTTTTGGGGGCAGCCTACCAAATCAAAATGGATGGTGGCACCAATAAAAAAAACCATGATTTCGTGCCTGTACCAATTCCGACAAACCTTGGCACAGCATCGGGAAAAGAGACTTGGAAGTACTTGTGGTTTAAACCACCACTACATGGCCCCAGCCAAGTTGAGAATCCGATTGAGCCTCTCCTAAAATTTCCGAGGCTTGGGACAGGGCATCCGAAGGGCCAGTAGGAAACGAAATTGTCGCATGCCATGGGGTGGCATTAGGCCCAGCCCTGAACCCAAAGAAAAAAATCCGCCTGGCCCCAGCAGGCTCTGTTTAAGTCCCGAACTTTTACTAGAGGCTCGTTCGAATTTCCAGATGTACGGCGGTTTAAGGCAGTTTACCTTTCTATGCCACATCCAATTCCTGCTGCTGTTGATGTCATCCTAGCATTCATGCTGTACGTTCTCCTGGACCCGGAAAAATCTCCCATGCCGTCGCTGTCAGAAGCATTCCTAGGATCCAACTTCCATAGAGTCGGGACTTGAACGCGCGTCTTCGCCATGAAAAATCGACTGCTTCTTCAGCTGGTCTATGGGACAGACTCCTCCAGTTTACATCTACTGCAGCGTCCATGGGTGTCAGGCCCTCAGTGAGCTGACAAGCAGTCCTAGGCACCCAGAAAAATGGAGTACTGCGAAGCTTCGCCTTTGCCTCTCTCTGTAAGTGTCCACGGGTGTCAGGCGCTCATTTTTCCGACTACCATTTCGCCGGGTTTGCACCCTGTTTGTCGCATGATTCATTGTAGCCGCATGTAGGGTAAGTTCTGAGTTGTAGAAATCCGTAATAACCTTGCCTTCTATTCTGTGGATGACTGTTTTAGTTGGGAGTCAGGGCAGAGCGTGAATAAGTCTTTCTTCTGTACCTACTTCAGGGGGTCTCAAGTCCTGCGGATGCAGCTTAAGGGGTCAAATGGGGTTTCAAGGTAACTGCTTATCTCCAAAGTTTGGAGCGTTGACCTGATGCCGATACCACAAAATTCAGGCCGCGGTCAGTGCTACCCTATCCAGACCCTGCAATTGTTTCGGGCGTCCTAGCACGAGTCCCAGGGCTGTTGTGCCTTGAAGATTGTGTCAAGGTGCTCCAACCACAGCTGTGAATGTGGTGCAGGGAATCCCATGAAGGGGTGAATCACACTCCTTGAGTTAACTCAGCTAATAGATAGGGGCGCCTTTGGCCCATCTATATAGAGACTTAAGCGACGCCTTTGGTGCCTTCGGTCGGGGCCCCGGCTCTTGCGAACCCTTTGGCACGTATTCCCGGGTTTTGGGGTAGTAAGTGTTAATTACCCCCCCACCAATAAATAGATACAAGGGGGAGGGGGGAAAGCAAGGCAGACGATACAGATCAATGACTAGTCCACGATGTCATGTCAGCGCTGCTCCACGCAGATCGTGGATGACGGTCGTGCACCACTTCGCCCAGATCGTAGACCAGGCTCATGCACCTTATCATGGATCTCCGCACCTGCTGTTCCTCTCCCGAGGTTCTAGCAGAGAGTTTTATCCCTAAACTTGGTTCTTTTTGGGGTAAATCATGAATCTGGATGATGGTTCCGGGAGTCCCGAGTTGGTGTGAATCATATTTGTTCTTTTTGGGGAAAATCACAGGTTTTACCTACCCTATGCACTTAGGCATTTCTCCATCTGCATGATGCAGGTAGCCTGCTGCACTTCTGAGACCCTGGCTTGAAGCTCCATGATGATGCAGGATGTGTGGGTGTATCAGCCGACAGGGATAAGCAGAGGAGTAACTCAGAAGCCTGTTGTGGGTTGCTAGGAGGGGTGATAGGAGCAGTACCTCAGTATTTTATTTCCTATTTTGTATCCTTTTTGTGTTGGGATTGACAGAGGTAAATGAAAGTCCATAGGATGAAGAGAAATGCAGAATGCCATCTCGATCTTTGTGCATAGGTTTCCAAACTTCCTCCTGATAATTTGGTGTCCATGTGTTGTATCTTGCTGGGGTGTTGTTCCCTTCTTTGTTTTCTATTTTTCCTTGTTTGCTTCGTGAAGAGCGAGCATGCTCCCCAGATCGTTGAGCAGCTCAAAGGGGCTATGGATAAGCTTCAGGCCAGTGTGCAGCAAATAAATCTTCCACTGCTTAACATGCCTTCCAACATCTGGGATAAGGTCAGTTCTTTTTGCGTGCCCCCCCCTCCCCCCCCTCCTCCCCCTCTGTTTTTTACCATTACCGCTCCTTCCATCCGCCCAACCTTCTGGCTCATGCCGTCACATTCCAGAGTACTGACAACAGTCCTACTGGAATCCTTTTGCCAGTATGCTTGGAACGTTGTCTTGGTCATGTTTGACCTGCTTGTGATGCAGTGATATGGGTGCTTGGGGCATCGCTCCACTACTCTCCACATGCACAAACGGCAAAAACTATGGCGGTGTATCTTTCTGTGTTCTAGCGGAGGGTTCATTCTCATTTTGCACATTGAGACAGTAGTGGAGCAGCGAGGCCCTTTGGCATGTTTTGAATTGTTTTCACTTTTTCGGTTCCTACTACCCTCTCCTGCTGTGTTCTGACGATCGTCCTAGGATTTTCTGCAATGCGATGGCAACGTTTTTTGTCAGATTGTTGTGGGCTTTCTGAGATGGGATGGCGACCTTTTTGTCAGATTGTTGTGGCCGCTCTGGAGTGTGATGGAAACACTTTTGTCGGATTGTGAGGCTTGAACAGGTAAGCAGCGACCTGGTATAAGTCCTCACTTGAGGGCATACTGACGCTACTTTCTTCCCCCGAATACAACATACGGTCATTATAGCCATATTTGGGATATCGTTCGGTCTCAATACGGCTATAATGAGCGTACGTTGTATTCAGGGGAAGAAGGTAGGCCTTTCCTCCCTGCATCTGGCTGTGTTTATGACCCATTCCGGATGTGTCGTACCATGATTGTGGTCTTTCCTGGTTGTATCAGACCACAATTACGTACACAGTTCAGTGGAAAAGTCCTCTGAGAGTGTTCACCTAAGGTTTTTCTTCCACTTGTCAGTGGTCTATTTCCAGCCATACAACTCCCCACCGTACCACTGTTGGACCTGCACGCTGTAGATTTTTGCCAGGTACTCATATACAAGAAAAATGAACAGTGCAGGGGGTGTGGGGGTGTTGGAGTGGTGGGCCCCACTGGTGCTATGTTCATTCTTGGAATGCCTGAACCTGGCTGTAATAGCAGCCCGGTTTTTGCTTTCATAGCATGAACGTAGCTTGAGTGGGGCCTGGCCCTAAAAAGCTTCTGGGAATGTAGTGGACTGAATCCATTGTGTTCGCATCAGTTGATTTGGTAAACTGCAAAGGGATGTTGGGGTATGTAACCATGGAGGACGTTCAGCGGCCGAGGACAGGTCTGTGTTGAGTGTAAGAGGTGGCCAGCCTGGCCGGCCTTTGTTCACCCACACCTGCCCACACCCAGCTGCATTTTGCTTCTTTGTTTTTTTTCCTGTGTGTGCATGACGGTACCTGAGCTTGTTCTGAACTTCACACCAACTCTTGGCCCACCTGACACTCCAAAAGACCCCTCACTGGTGCCCAGCGGTACATGTGATGAAAATCATCCGCTTGCACCCGCCCGTACCTATACCGCAGGTACCATTGTTACAAAAAGGTTTGAAAGGGGTGAAAAAGAAATGGGACAGATAATCATCATCATCACTTTCCTTCTTCCTCTTCCTCTTCCTCTTCTTCGGCGCTGTCATTGTCTTCGTCTTTGTCATCGTCATCGTCTTCGTTTTCCTCTTCCTCATCCTTGTTGTCGTATTTGTGGTTGTCGTTGTCATGGTTTTCTCCATCTCTGTTTTCATTGTTGTCATTGTCGTGGTTGCTGTTGATGTGGTCCCCGTCATCTTTTTCTTTGTCGGCTTCGTTGCCTTCGTTGTTGTTGTCGTCTTTGTTTCCTCTTCACCTTCTTCGTCGTCTTCTTTTTCAGAACATGAAATCTGTCCAGACAGACTGGTCATTGCTTGCTGATCTGGCAGGACAAGCGGGGCTGCCTTGCTCTGAGTTTTCTGGAAGGGTCCTTTTCAAAAGGTTCTTCGGTCTGGCATGAGCACAATAAAAGGAGAAAGGATATGCAGTTGGATCAGCTACCGTCCAGTTTGCTGGATATGCAGTTGGATCAGCTAAGTCCTGATGGAGGCATTCCCGAGGGTTTGGGGGCCTATTATGGGCACCATTGAATTGAGCATATGCTAAGATATGCAATAATCTTTTTTTCCTTTTGATTTTTTTTATTCAAATGTTGGTGTTAGGCCGCATGTCGCCGGAGGAGGCGGCGAGAGGCTGTTCTTGGCGGATTGCAAGGGTGATGTGAGAGCCACACTGTTCAGCCTATCATCATCATCATCATCATCATCATTGTGATGATAATGAGGCTATCTGTGATGATAGAATATGATGGTGGAGATGATTAAGATGATGGATAAGGATCGATGATGATGCAGTCTGAATTACAACTTTGATGATTCTGGAGTGTTTTCTGAATGTTGAGGGTTAATATCTCACAGGGTGATATGACACACGTCTGAAACAAGAGGGCCGAAAAGGGAATGGAGGAGTTTGGAGTTGAAAGGATTGTGTGGAGGATGATATAGATGGATGGATGGATGGCATATTACAGTGTAATCAGTCTGGGGATTCTGCAGACTATTGAGGGTTCAGCCTCCTGATGGGTTGGTGAAACTGGGACGAAACAGTTTGATACAGCCCCTCATTTGTTGTCCTCTTCTACCTCCCTCTCTGTCTTATGGTTTACCGGGCAGCTCTGTTTGACGATATATGTATATTCTGTTTGACGATATATGTACATTCTGTTTGACGATATAACAGAACTGCCCGGTAAACCGTAGGCAGAGAGGGAGAAAAGGACAACAAATGAGGGCTGTGACAAACTGTTTCGTCAGAGTTTCCCCAGCTCATCAGGAGGCGGAACCCTTATATATATATATCTGTTTGACTATATATATATATCTGTTTGACTATATATATAGTCCCTTTGTTGTCCTCTTCTCCCTTTCTGCCTATGGTTTACCGGGCAGTTGGTGAAACTCCGACGAAACAGTTTGTCACAGCCCCTCGTTCGTTTGTTGTCCTCTTCTCCCTCTCTGCCTACGGTTTACCGGGCAGCTCTGTTTGACGATATATAAACTCCGACGAAACAGTTTGTCATAGCTCCTCGTTTGTTGTTCGCTTCTCCCTCTCTGCGTACGGTTTACCGGGCAGCTCTGTTTGACGATATATATATACCGCCGCTCAACCTACACCTACGTGGGCGGCCTTGTACGCAAGAGGTTTTGAACAGGGGGAGTTGTAAGTAAGAAGACAAAAAATGAATTGATATCCTTCTTGTTTCCTTTTGTTTTTTTTTGGCTTTTGCGTTCTGATAACCTTGTGACGATATATATACGAGTCGGTGAAACTCCGACGAAACAGTTTGTCACAGCCCCTCGTTTGTTGTCCTCTTCTCTCTCTCTGCCAACGGTTTACCGGGCAGTTCTGTTTGTGACGATATATACATATATACTATGACTTCGCTAGCTTCCTGCTACGGTTTTCTCCGGTCAGGTCGAGTGGCAGTGGTCGGGGCCGTTACTACGCGGCCATGCT